TTTACCATCACATTTGCAATGAATTCGATTTACCTTTGGCTTGACTTGTCCATGAAACTCTCCGACAATTTAGGTGGTGACCTTCGCCGTTTATTCCTACTTTGCTGTGTGTCTGGTCGGCCACCAATATCTGGACCCCACCAAAGGCTACGAAGGTTTCGAGAAAGATTTCTACGTCCCGGGCTTCACAATTTTGCTGTTCCTCTTCTACATGGGTTGGCTGAAGGTTGGTTCACCAAAATTTGGTGAAAAGAGGGTGCTACTCGTAACCTCTTCTTATTTAATAAAATCTTATTTTTAAAAATAGCGTTTATATAGTGCAAATTCTTGCTAAAAAACAAGCTGTACAACCTATATAATTATTACCCCAGTAGACGTATTAGCATTCTGAAACAATTTCAGCTTCCTGGCCTGTGAAGCATATTATTTACGATCTCTTTTTGATTTTCTGTCTGTTTTTCTTGCTTTTCCCAGCGCTAAACTACTGTGTTTGTATGAATGTGGCTCTCTTCACTCAAATACATTTACTCAACCATCTAAGTCTTCACTGTTTAAATTTTCTTTTCAGAATAATAACGGTTTGTCCGTCAATGTCTGATGATCACCAATGTATCTGCAAATAAATGTCTTAAAGAAGAAATAAGTATTAAGATGACTTGTGGTTTCTACCATGGCCAATTAGACCAATTCTGACAGGGCAGAGTTTGCCACACTGTAGAAGAATTTAAAAGCTTCCTTTTTCTCTTGTGGAAGTGCGCAGCTCGCGGGATTCTCACTTGGTTTCAGCATTTCTAGTTTGTGAAGCCTCATATGATCTTCTGCTATCTAAGTGGGTTTGTCAGGAGCCAGGCTCGGCCACACAGATTAGTACGAAAATATTATTATCATTATCATTATCACGACGATGAAGATGATGGTAATGATGATGATTATTAGTATCATTGTTATTATTATTATTATTATTGTTATCATTATTATTATTACGATAATTATGATATTTTTCTTCTTCTTCTTCTTCTTCTTCTTCTTCTTCTTCTTCTTCTTCTTCTTCTTCTTCTTCTTCTTCTTCTTCTTCTTCTTCTTCTTCTTCTTCTTCTTCTTCTTCTTCTTCTTCTTCTTCTTCTTCTTCTTCTTCTTCTTCTTCTTCTTCTTCTTCTTCTTCTTCTTCTTCTTCTTCTTCTTCTTCTTCTTCTTCTTCTTCTTCTTCTTCTTCTTCTTCTTCTTATTATTATTATTATGATGATGATGATGATGATGATGATGATGATGATGATGATGATGATGATGATGATGATGATGACGATGATGATGATGATGATGATGATGATGATGATGATGATGATGATGATGATGATGATGATGATGATGATGATGATGATAACGATAGTAATAATAATAATAATAATAATAATAATAATAATAATAATAATAATAATAATAATAACAATAACATTAATATAACAACAACAATAACAACAATTTGAAAGGTCACTTCTATAGCACACACTCCCTGGCAGCGGCTCAAGCCACTTTATAATACATTAAATTTTCAACAGCTTACACACTGACACGTTGCAATTCAATGTACAATAATCCTTTCAAATACACATGTATTCTTACTCTACCGAAAATGATATTCTGACCAAAGTTCACAAACATTAAAAACAACAACAACAGCAATCACAGTGGCTTCTGATTATGTATGTCGCTAGGAAAAGAATCAAACTAGCTGGTAAAATATGATTTCAGTAAATTATTAATGTGTATTTATTAAGACCAGGGATATCTGCCGTCAACGTTGGCCCCTCTCTAAGATACAGTGAGAGGGAATTCTACACTGAGAAATCTACTGTTGATAAAATCCTATCTCCGGTTTACAAAAAAAACCCCGCAATGCATAGTCTCAAGTTATCTTTTGTTTATGGATCGGAATTATACGTTACTTTTACCGACAATCTTCTGGTTTTTTCCTAACAGGTGGCCGAGCAGATGATCAACCCATTCGGGGAAGATGACGACGATTATGACATCAACTGGTTACTGGACAGGCACACAGCGGTAACTAACTCCATAGAAGCAGGGGCAAAGGTGGGGATTTAAGCTGAAAAGTAGTATTTAAGAGAGAAACCCCTGGATTGCGAAACAAGTGACCTAAACTGCCCATGGTCTTAACACATAGTCGGGCAGTATTTGATCTGACCCCCCCCCCCCCCATTCTAGTTAAAAAAAAGAACTGTATAC